TGGGTCTTTCTGGCGCCGAACTACGGAAGTGGGTAAGGCAGAAGGAGAAAGAGGCGGTGGAGAGAAAGAGGTTGGCAGCTGAGAGAGCCAAGGAAGAAAAAGCAGCTGAGTTGGAACGAGAGAGGTTGGCAGCTGAAAGGGCCAAGGAAAAAAAGCAGCTGAGTTGGAACGAGAGAGGTTGGCAGCTGAGAGAGCCAAGGAAGAAAAAGCAGCTGAGTTGGAACGAGAGAGGTTGGCAGCTGAAAGGGCCAAGGAAGAAAAAGCCGCTGAGTTGGAGAGAGAGAGAGGTTGGCAGCTGAGAGAGAGAAAGAAGAAAGAGAGGTAAAGGAGTGACAGCTGAAAGAAGAAAGAGAGCGGCAACTGAAGTTGGAGCTGGAGAGAGAGAAGTTGGCAGACAAAAAAGCGAGAGAAGAAAGAGAAGCGAGGGAGCGACAGCTGAAAGAAGAAAGAGAAGCGGAGATGGCTGAAAGGGAACAGCAGCGGCAGCATGAGCTGGAACTCGAGCGGCTCCGTTTGCAACAGCGAAGTGAAACGCCGGTCCAAGCTAGAGTTGAAAGCAGCGAACGGGAGGACCACGGATTCCGCTTGAACCCAAGCAAGCTGCTCGTAGCGTTTGATGAAAGAAAGGAAGACCTTGACGCGTACCTTCACAGATTTGAGACGACTGCAAGAAGCCAGAACTGGCTGGAACATCAATGGGCAACTGCTTTGAGTACTTGCTTGAGTGGTGAAGCGCTAGGTGTGTACGGTAGGCTGACGCCGACCGATGCAGCCAACTATGCAAAGGTGAAAACTGCTTTGCTGAAGCGATTTACATTTACTGTGGAAAGATTCCGGGACAGATTTCGGACAGGAAAGCCAGCTGATGATGAGACGGCTACGCAGTATGCCGCCCGACTTTGCCATTATTTCCACAGATGGATTGAACTTTCAGGGACAGCGCAGAAGTACGATGAGCTTAGAGAGCTCCTAATTAGAGAACAATTTCTCACTAGTTGCCACCCAAGCCTGTCGCTGTACTTGAAAGAGAGGAAAGCTAAGTCACTAGAAAACATGCTTGAATTAGCTGATATATTCTTGGAAGCGCAAGGTGGAACAAATTTAGCCAAAGTCAAGAAGGAGTGTTCCGAGGATTCGAAGAAATCGGCACCCGAACAAAAGAAGCGTGCAACAAGGAGTGTTCCGCGATGTTTTCTGCGTAACCGAGTGGGTCATCGCGCGAACAACTGTCGTACTAACTTTACGAGCCCTACGGTAGTGAACTGTTTCAAGTGTGGTCAGACTGGGCAAAAAGCAGACACATGTCGTAACGGAGCGAGTCAAACTCACCAAGTATCCTGTGTGCTAGCAGCACCGAAATCAGATAGTGATGCCGTCACCAACGGATTCGTAGAGTTGAAAAATTGGGAGAAACTTCCTATTGTAGGTGCCGTAATGACAAAACAGCCAACCGTGGTTACGAAGGGGATGCCAACGCTGCCTGGAAAAGTTGCGGGCAAGAAGATTACGGTTCTAAGAGACACCGGTAGCTCCACCGTTATCGTGCGGAGAAATTTGGTACGAGAAAGTGAGTTAACAGGCAAAATGAAACCAGTTTGCCTAATTGATAGTACGGTTCGGATGCTTCCCGAAGCAGAAATTGGGGTTGAAACCCCGTATTTCAGCGGGAGGGTTACTGCTTTATGCATGACGACCCCCTTGTACGACCTCGTCATAGGAAACATCGACAGGGCGCGAGGGCCGAATGATCCAGAACGTTTGGGGGAAGACCCGAAGATGGAGCCTTCACTGACACAGGGACCGCGAGATTCAGCGGAGAACAATCCTGTGAAGGATTTCACTCGAGCCCAAGGTGAAGCCTGAGCGCAAGAGACAGCGAATGAGAACATGATCGTATTGAATGAGTTCACGTGCTGGGAAGCTGGACTTACGTCGGCACGACCTAAACCGACCGACAATGTAAAGATGACGGAGTCGGCGAGCCAGGCCTAATGTCGTGACATGAACAAGCGGGAGACAGGAACGGTTGAACGTTCTGACCCGTTAACGGTGTCGGAAGTAACAACGATGGCTGAGACGCCACCTCAGATACCGTCGTTTGAAAGGGCTCGCCGAAAAAGAACGTGAAAACACAAGAAGAGATCGAGCGAGCACTGCAAGAAAGGGTGCAAGGGCTGTTCGAAAAGCACAGGATAAGTGTTGAGGACGAATCGAAATGTGTTTGACAGTGCTATATGTTAAGTTAATGTGGTTGTTGTCCTGTGTCACAACTGTATGTCGAGTGAATCAAAATTTTTGTTACGGTGATGTGATGTATAGTATTGTACAATTGTTGTAAAAAGAGAACTTTGTACATTTGTATTGTTTGGAATATGTGATGTAGTATTGTATTCATGTACCTGTGTCTATATTATATGTGTTGTGTGATTGAATTGCAATGTACAATTGTATTGAGTGATATATTGTGAATGTGACGTGTCATGAGCGACGGATTATGTTACAGTCTTTGAGAGTGTGGGGACTGTTCGTGATCGTTTGTGTGGTTTTGAATATTATGAGGTAATATTCTTAAAGTGGGGGGCAGTGTCACAAAACGAGCGCTCAAAAAAGGGCGCGCCGCCAAATTCTCGCGACGAAACGCCGGAGTGACGCCGCGAGGTCAACGATAAAAAAAGAAAACAAGCATCCAAAGACTCCCCGGGCACGCGTCCCTCTCCCCTCGGAAGCGTAGGTTCGCCGACGAACCTCCTCACCCCACATCGGCGGCCGAGCAAGCCCTCGAAATTTCTCGATGGAAAGGGGCGTGGTGATGCCGGGTTGAGTCATCCGTCGCGGACGGCCCCCGTATCGTCTCGCCCTTTCCTCCAGCCTTCGCTGCGCATCGCGCCGACGAAATGATGAGAACTTTCTGGAACTCGCGCGGAAGGTATTTAATCGAGCAGCCGAGATGAGAGATCAGAAGAAAACGGAAGTTAGCGCAAGAACGCGTAGGGATTCCGCCATGTAGTCGGCGAAGGTTTTGCCCGTAGTGACAAAACAGGAGAAGAAGAGGATTTCCACCTGAGGGGTGAAGGCTGGAGCTACAGGCAATAGCGTGTGTCTACCATATCGAGCGAAGACGCGTGGCAACAGCTGCGGGTGTGAAGCCGACGTGTTTACGGCGAAGAAGTTTGAAGCTTGGAGAGCAGCCAAGTGAAGACGCGAGGTTTCCTGGAAGTTAAACTTCGGCGAGGTTTCCTGGAAGAGAAACTTCGGGGGCAGCGGAACGACAACAACGCTGGACTTTGAGTGAGTGATTCTCGGAAGAGTATCATCCAGGCTTTTCTTCCAATTCTAAGAACTTTGGACTGGATAGGTTTTCTATCTCTTTAGTCTTTAAGTGTCTTGGTTGTTCAATGCATGCGACTGCATTGTAGTGCGTATTGTTGTCTGTGTCCGTTGTTTCGAGTGTGGCTGATTGTACTCTGTAGTACGTTGTTTGATTGGTGGCATATTGTACTCAACTATTGTGGAGTGTGCATACTTGTGTATTGTTTTTGATCTGCCATTATTGAGAATAGAATTTTGTTTTGTTTATCAACTCCCGGCTCTGGCTTGTTCTTTGGGCCACAGCCGGCGTCTGCTGGCACGCTCAAAAAGACCACATCTAAATTGTCCACGCTTTCGTGGTGCGGTTCGGGGGGCCGACACCTCGGCCCTTGGAATTAGCCCGACGATCGCCTCCCTAATTAATGGGACCCTTGACATCAGTTAAACCTTTTTAGAGACGACAGGATATCTTGAGATACAAGAAAATGTTGTTAACGATTTAGAGCACGAGGTACTCTACTACGGGAGAGCATAAGCCGTCCCGTGGGCCGTTAAGAAGCTGAATTGACAAAAGCTGCAGATACAACGCAAGAACATCGGTCTGTATATTTGCTTGTGACAGGGTTCAGCAACCCGTCGAAAGCTTAAGTACTACAACGCTCAGCCCTCTTAACCTGATGGCTGTATTCATACTTGTGAGCACTGCCAACCAAAAAGCAAATATTACGCATATATAGGGCACACCATCAATGCGTATGTATTTGGTGGTGTGTTCCTTTACTAGAATATAGAAAGATGTTCAATTCTAAATATCCAATTTTTTTTACGCTGCGCTAAAAATGCAATGCTATGCACTAAAAAGCGCTTGTTTTTTACGCCTTCGCTAAAAATGGCACGCTATGCCCGAAAAATTGCTATGCCGATGACAGGGGTTGCCATCCACCAGTAACAAGAAAGACAAATTGAGAATCACAATCAATGTTGAGAAATGTAAATTTACAGCCACCCACTCGTAGCACAAAGCTATACGTGAAAATCCATTCATACTTCTCGGGAAGCCATTTTCTTAGTTGCTAACTAGAACAAATTTCACAGCTACTAAGAAGTCGTTCTTCTGAGAGATCCATGTTGATTCCCTGGTGGCCTAGGGCTACAAATATAGGTGGTTGTTAATTATCCTTTCTTAAGTTCAGTGGAATATTCAGCAGAGCACAAGACAACGCTAATATTGCATCAGAACGAGCAATTGAGCCAGTTGGTGTGCTTCCATTTTGAACAAATACTAGAGCGATAAAAACGAGGTCGAGAAGAGGAATTAAAGACCTACTACAACACTGTTACTCGCAACTAAAATTTCATTCCGAAAAGAAGCGGAATAAAAAGCATCTGGAAAACCAAGGAAACAAGCAACCATCGCACACTCACAATGTGACAAAAGGAATAACAACAGCCTATATGGTTGGTGAGACATAGATGTGACACAATTTATTCGTGAGGTATGATACTTCCACATTCTATAGTGCCAACAAAGGCTGACTGATACACTTGTCCTCTTCCACTAATATCTAGAACACCATCGTTTCACATGAGCGCTGCTAATTGTGGCACTGAAATTTTTCCGTCCTATCAACGTTTACAAGCATTTGTGCGGCGCATTGCGTATTCTTGCATTCGCTGCAGCCCTAGCATACCTTCATTGCAATAAAGCGCCGTTTGAGGTCTGCAACACTGTCTAGACCCTTGCATGTGTAGTCGAAGTCCTCGGCCCGAGACTCCAGCTCCACGGCGTTGTTCACGGACACGGACCAGTACAGGACGTGGCTGCACAGCATGCCGGGAATCTTGCCCAGAGGAAAGCGCCATGCTGGGGAACGAGAAAAGTCGCACGCTAACATCTCCCGATGCTCAGATTTCTTCTTACATTAAGGAACTTTTACTTCGTGAGCCAGATTAAAAAAGCGGTAATCTAAGATCCTGTGTTCATTGTAAGTGTCTTTAGAAATGTGTGTACAGTGTGCGTGAGTGTTAGAAGGGAGGCATTTGATAGAAATGTATAGCCTTTACACATAAATATTGATAAAGAGCAGACAGTAAAAGCCACGTCAGTGCCGTAACAATGTGGACTTCCAAGTAAAATGAAAATTTCTATGACTACAATCAGTGCGAAGGTATGATGACATTTCAAACAGTTTTATTATTAGATCAATAACCTGCGAAGAACAATCAGCAATGAACGATATTACCCGCCATGGTGGTCTATAGTGGCTAATGCACTCGGCTGCTGACCCGCAGGTTGCGGGATTGAATCCCAGCCGCAGCGGCCGCAATTTTGATGGTGGCAAAAATGCTTGAGGCCCGTGTGCTTAGACTTAGGTGCATTGTAATGAACCCCTGGTGGTCGAAATTTTTGGAGCCCTCCACTACGGCGTCTCTAATAATCATATAGTGGTTTTAAAACGTTAAGTTTGTTAATATAATAATTGATATAATAATCTTGCAACACTCGGCATTAGGAAGGACCCAGTGAGGATTACTAAAATCCTATGACATGCAAAAAAAAAAGTTGGCTGGCTGTGACTACCATATGATTCCAGTGCTTTGGCAGATTTACTAGTAATTAGCGCATTCTCATCGTTCTGTGTCTCAGTGCAATCCGAAAAACTCGGAAATATTTTAAAATTTTGTAGAACCTATATTAGTTTGCCTCATCCAGTTGTTTTTAGCGAATTTTAAAATGCTCGTTATATACACCAGTCATAAAAAGGCTCGCACTAAAAGCGTAAGAAGGTCGTTTAAATTGTTCACCAAAGTGAACTTTTCGGAAAATGTAAATGTTAAGGGAGTGGTATGAGCAATGAGCAGTTACAGTCAATCAGTTTTATTCCAGTTTTTTTACAGGCAAAAAAAAAATACAACTGAGGATGGCAAGAAAAAAGTAGTCAATAACGGCTGCTGGACGAGCCTCGCCACCCCTACATGTCAGAATACGCAACAACACTATGCAATTTTAATAAAAACAATTGCCACTATTTAAAGGAAACAAAAACAGCACGAATAATTGCAGGCATGTGAGACATTTTGACTACAGGATATCTTTAAAATTACACAGTTACTATGCGTAAACTGTGTCATTTTGAAGTATGATATGTTCGCGCACTTACTAGGCGGCCTGTAATGAGCGGATGCGTTGAACAAGCAAAACACTTGGCTCGTCATCATCCGGTAGTTGCCCATGTGCGCTCCTTCGCTCGGGAACATTTCACCGCAAGCACCAGGGACCTGCACGCGAAAGCCTCCAGATAAGTTGTGCTTGATGCAGAAAATTACCTGAGTTAGCTGCTTGACAATTGAAAGAATACAAAAAATCTAGGGCGTCCTTCTTTGAGTACAATTCAATATAATACAAAGCATAACAGTTTTTCCAAAAAAGGCTTCAATGATTTCTTGGCAGCTTAGGAATACAGATCACTAGCCATAAGCAGAGTTTGCTGTTCGACTCGGCATTGTGCATTTTTTACCTGTCTACCAGACCAGGCTGAAGTTCGTTAACACGTATCGCAGTCGGTTATCTGCATAAGCGTGTGTCAGCTGCAGTGGTGCGACACTGCTACACCGCTGACGCAAAGGTAGCGGGTTCGATTCCGGCCATGGCCGTTGCATTTTGATGGAGGTGAAATGTGACTGTCGTGGCCGTGTGCTGTGTGGTGTCAGTGCACTTCAAGGCACACGAGATCGTTGAAATTTCAAACTATTAAAACGTGATATTAACTCCTTTGTGCGGACCATTTAAACTTAATTTTTATTCAAAAATAAGAAGATTCTTGGCAGAACAGAAGCTCTACGTTGTTTCTGGACCACTATTTCAAAAATCGACGTCCACAGAGTATTTCCCGTTTAGTCCTAAATTGTAGTTTTCGGTACTTACATTTTAGTTTACTAACGTGGCTAGCGTAACATGTTGTAAATTCGCGTGCTGCTGGTTCGGTTTCAACCAGATCACCTGACAGAAACGAACTTGATACACCCGGAGTCTTAAACTCATCTCAACTGGTGGGAAACAGTGACGAAATTTGATCGCTCAAGGGCCAGGACAGTGAGTACGTAGGGAAGTAAAGGGGGCAAGTGTGAACGAAAAGTCGGCCAACGTTACCATCCTCAAAGAACGTGTGCTTTATTATATACTGTATATGGGTCATTTCTGAAGCGGAGCGAGCGTCAGGTTTCGAGAACAAACGAGCGAGAGAATGACGGCACAGCGCAATATTCAAAATAAAGTTAATTAGATTTGGACTCACGTGTACATACGTAGACAAGGCAAAAAAAAAATAAAAACCACGAAGGAAAAAATTAGATGAAGAAAAATGAAAAGGTGATAACTAAAGAAGGGCCGATAAATCACACAGGAGCACTAACACCATCCCCTTTCCGTGTCTCGCCAAAAACAAAGGCTCTTTGTCGGAAAGGTGCAATAAAGGCATGCTTACGCATGCGTCCCCAGCCCGTTTCATTTCTTCAGCCTAAATTATTTCCCTCACCCTTTGGTCCCGATTGCGTGCAAGGACCGTGGTTTCTTCGAAAATAGGGCTACACTTGCAGTCCCACACATGAATGCCTAGGTGCCCCGATAGAGTGGTGTAAACGCTATAATAGTGCTCACGAAGTCTGTCATTCAGACAGCGTCCCGTCTGGACCACACATTTTCTGCCACACGTCAGAAGAATGGCGTACACGACACCTAGAATGCATCGAACGTACTTTCGCTTATGGTCTGTGGTGCAGAAAGTTTCTCAGTGGCAGAGAGCCTGCCCCCTCCCCCCTCCCGGGATCTTCTCCAATTTTCTTAAGCCTGTGCGAAACGTCACGCACGTAGGACACCGCAGCTGTCTTCTTTTTATCCTGCACCCTCGATCTCACTCGGCACTCCTCCTTTTTCCAGGAATACATTACGACTGACTTGTTCCAACTCGCCCGACAAGCAAGGTTGCCAGGTTTCGAGAAGAATATTGGTAGGATAGGATGCCGTAAAAGCGATAAAATAGTGAAAATAGGGAATACATTTTTATCTGTGACTGATGGCCATAAAACGTCAATCCAGAAACTTGCCTCTCGGTACAAGACATGTCCTACATAAACATGTCCTTGTTCGCACTGTTAAAAAGTTTATTTTAAAAAAGAAATGGAAAATGCACCAGATATTTTATTTTGCCACAACCGGAGGGGAAAAGTGAGACGCTGCGTTGGGAAAAACAAAGATACTGTGAGAAAAAAAAACATTAGTGCAGTTTATCGCAGTAGAAACACTTGAAATTCACTCCATAGGCCCCCGTGCAGTTTTCGTAGTTGGAGTCCTCTCACTCCATGCATTCAATTCCTAAAGAACTCCGATTTTTGCTGCTCCAAAACTCTTTGCATAATTAACACCACCTGTATTTGTTTGTGACAATGTTCTGGTTTTTGATCGTCTGCAATTCATTAGGTTATTCATTAATTAGAGGGTAGATACATACTGACGCATCTTTTTTTTTCTCTTTTTCTGTTTCAATAGAGAACTGCGCAGGAGTTTTGTGGCTTTAACTTCATCAACCGGGCTTCGAAACTGTACTAGATTTAGATTTTAGAGTGCTTGTACTCTTTTTTTTTGAAACTTGGTATTCGAGAAATATTAATAAAACTAGTTACCCAAACGCATTTTTGAACAGCTTAGGATTTTATTCCAAGTTTTTTTATCCGCCTGTAGAAAGCATTTTTGGGAACACGGAAAAACCTTGGCCCAATGCCAATAGATCGAGTCCTATCCTGAACAGTAGTGTGTGTTATTTAAGGTTGTTTTCTTTCGATGAAGCCCTATATACTATTCTTTTGTACGTCTGAACCCTAATCAGCAAATAAATATAATATGCATTGAGTGTAACTAAATTCTTCACGTAATAGGAGATTTTCAATGCCATCTCGATATATTTTTGTCATGTTCGGCTCCTTTCCCCAGTCCCAATTAAGTACCAATGCACTTTGTTTCCTGGCACCAAATGAGCTAAACCTTTGGTGGTATGTACCTTGTAGTAAAAAGCAGCAGAATAATTACTTAGGTTGTCGTAATTACACCTGAGCAGCGTCATGCACAGATTCGAATAATTGGCGGAGGAGAATTTCACTCCTTTTTGACGGGGCCCTAAAACATTGGCACCGGCAAAGTAATATTTCCAGAACGAACGCTGCGAGAAATCATCAACTTTTACACCTGAAGAGGTAGAGAAGTGCAAGCTCCAATTGCTGGAAAAGACAAACAAAGAAACGTACTGTTTGTGTTAGCTACAGGGGCCGCAAAGTCAAAATGTCGCGTTTTGTTCGGGCATATACACTTCCCTACCCTGCTGATTTTCAAAATGACTGACATCAGGACCTCGATTCGGAGATATGAAGTGTTTGTGTCACGGCAGGCATTAACAAAGGGTGCCCGTTTACAGCACTACTGAAAGCAAGCTTGAGATCAGTCACATCTGTGTAGCTGGTTGACATAATTGCGAAGTTGAAAATATGCAACGAAGACTGCCCTGCGCGGATAACGTTTTGTTTTTATAAGGCCAACGGGCAGAATGTAAACCACAGGGCGTGTGTACCGCGTAAATATTAATAATAATAATATCAGAAGTTTTACGGCCTAAAATTATGATATCGCTATGAGACACCATAGTAAAGGACTGTGGAGATTTTTACCATCTCCTGTTCTTTAACACTCCCGATAGTTGACATCGCTTGGCACATGGGCTTCTAAGGTTTCGCTTCCACTTAAAAGCTACCACCGCGGCCAAAATCGAACCCGTCGCCTTTCGGCCAGCAGCCTAACACCTTAACTGCTACGTGACTGCGGCGGACAATGCTATACAAAGTACCTTTTGTGATTGCACTGAATTCTTTCATTGTTGCTTTCATGGTGTTCGTAAGAAAAAAAAACAGAAGGCCCTGTATCTGCTTGTTTCATTGCGAGTATCGTCGAAAGAAAATATTCTTGCGTCTGGAGAGAGTGGAAAGACGTTTATTTGATGTTCTTTGCGAGGAAATCAGTGAACTGTATTTTTTAGGCGCTGCATTAGAGTGTCTCGATCCGCGCTGCGAAGGCGAACGAGCGCATCAAAGCACGTTACACACGAACGCTATCTGGCAGTTATGTTCGAAAACGAAGGAAAGCGTGCGCGCCTGTCTCGGAAACGATCAGTTGTAGAATGCAAAGCGACGGGCAGGTGCCACCACCATGTCGTCTTAGCAAAGCGTTGGAAACACTTGCCTTTTTGAAAATCGCATTGCATTGTCAGCGCAGCGTGATAAATGCTACAATCCTTCGAATTACTTGTGTATGCCTTTGCTAGTATAAAGACACACATACAGAATACTTGACGTTTTCTTATGGTGTCTCAGATATGTGCAATAATTGCTTTTTAATTGACAAGTGTGAACGCTGAAACTTGAGCAATATTGGTGGGCGCTGCGGATGGGGTTGGCCGTTTGGAGTGTCCTTTGAGGCCGTTTGAGGTATAGTTACGGTGTGTGCGCCCCGCCGCGGTGGTCTAGTGGCTAAGGTACTCGGCTGCTGATCCGCATGTCGCGGGTTCGTATCCCGGCTGCGGCGGCTGCATTTCCGATGGAGGCAGAAATGTTGTAGGCCCGTGTGCTCAGATTTGGGCGCACGTTAAAGAACCCCAGGTGGTCAAAATTTCCGGAGCCCTCCACTACGGCGTCTCTCATTATCAAATGGTGGTTTTGGGACGTTAAACCCCACATATCAATGAATTATAGTTACGGTGTACCAACAGACAAATGTGCATACAGACAGACCAAAAGTGTTGCGCCGAAGTACCCCAAGAAAGACTATCGTCTTTAAAAGTAAAATAACAAACAGCCCACGATACTCACACCCACACGACCGAAGATGTCCTGGTCAGGCGTGATGTGCTTAAAAGCGGCTGCTTGGTGCAGTGCTGCCCTCTGACGGCGGAAGTAGACGAACGCCGTAAGCCCCAGCGCCAACAAGGACAGAGCGCTCACAAAGGCAATGCCGACGCACATCTTGTACGCACGACTATGTCGTGTAGGTCGTCTGCGCCTATACGGAAGACCGCTGCACGACCACGACACATGAGTTAGAAGAAAATGGTATGACTAGATGCTACTGCATTCTGTTACGTCACTTCTAGATCCTTTGAAGTGAAGTATTTAGTTTCTCAATCATTGCAAATACATAAGGTTAGGGCTATATTTACTGGAGCACACGCAACAATCGTTTGCAGCATTCAGTGCCATGTGAACACAGTATCAAACATGAGAAATAGTTGCAATAGGTGGGGGACTCGTGCGAGATTTACTTACTGTGTATGAAATTCGCTCGTAGTGTACGATACTCGCTTTCTTTGATAAATTGCAACAAGAATGGCTGTCCAACATCTCCTTATATATCATATCAATAAAAAAAAAGAATGGGTGTGATGTAATACCGGGCTTTTGGGGCTCAATCAAGCCACGAATGCACACACACAAAAATGTACGTACAGTCAAAAGCATAAATACCAATAATCTGACTTAATTCACTGTCACGTACAGTCCTGTACGAAGTGCATGTATGAATCGGAAGTCTCTCGCTGTGTTGAGTTTCTGACTTGTTCGAAGCCAATAACTCTGGCTCGCTGATGTCCTCAGCGTGAGTCAGGCGACGCCGTATAACACGGCCGTCTTTAGCACCCGCAGCAGTACGATAGCGGTAGCTTGGTAGCTCAGCCGCCACAATGGTCGTCCCGGCAGCACACCTAAGCCATGCCATCCACATGAAACATCAGCTGGAACGGCATCCTACAGTATACCGGAATTCGCAGCCACTTTGGACGGTGGCGGGCACAGCGGCACTTTGTCTGATCCATAGACCAGTCACCCAGCTGGACTACAGCCCTCGTCCATCGGTTGCCCAGCTGCCAGGGATGGCAGCTGGAACAGCAGCACACTGCCTGCTCCATGGGCCCGACAACCAGCTGAATTCAAGGAGCAGAAGAGCAGCTGAGGACGTCAATGACTTCCTCAGACCAGACGTCCAGCCGAGAATCGTCTCAAATGCTTCTCTGCCTTGAACGTCGGCACGTGCTTTCTCGATGCCATGCCCTCTTCCTCGCCGTCTTCCACGGCGATCAAGCAGTTCTGGCTTTGTTCTTCTTCCATATATCACAGTGGGTAAGGTATATGCTGTTGCCATTAACGCTTTCTTGGGTCTTCCGAAAGGAGAGAGAAACTGACTATACACGAAGATTCGCCTTTTTTCTTTGGCTCAAAATGACAGGCGAAAAATTCCCCGACAAAGGGAAAATTCCCTGCACGGAACATCACTGCCTATAGACAGTGCCTCGTGTGGATCGCTGCGTTGTTGTGAGATAGCGCGCTGTCATTGCTTGTTCAGTACTATACTTGCTTATCTTGCAGCGCCCGCTTTGTTCGAGTGCTTATGGTGCTTGACCACTGACCGCAAGTTCACGGAATCAAATCCAGGCCTGGCGGCCACATTTAGATGGAGGCGTTATGCTAGAGACTTGTGTGCTTAGATTTAGTTGGTTACTGAAACCCAGGGTATACGTTAACATCGGAGCACCCCCCCTCCCCTTCATTGTGGCATCCCAAACAACCACACCTTCGTTTTAGGACGTTAAACACAAACAACTATTACTGCTAATATAGTGTTTATGTCGCCAACACAGGTAGAGTTCAGCCAAAAGACAAACGCTGCACGAGAAAGCAGTCGGTGAAAATGGCTTGCTGATCACTATAACCTGTGATCATGGGCAACGTCGGGCAATGTCGTAGCTTCTTAAGAATTTAAAGAACCAATCCCCTTTCTGACGTGGCTAACTGCGCAAGCGCAGTAGAAATCTTATATCTCAGCCCGACAACAGCAACTATGTTTGTGTGGCAGCTGAGGTCTCTTGTTTCATTACATCACTTTTCTTTATGTTAAATTATATTTTATACCCTCGAGTACTTATTTATTGGATTGTGACAAACGATCGAACATAATTGAGGCCATTTAAGAATCAAGTTAATTAACAAATTGGAGCAACGTGAAGTTACGTTATGATGTGCTCGTGCTGCCGCTTTTGTATAATCGCTTACCGTAAACTTGGAAGCAATCACGTCAAAAAACTCTTTCGGCTGATTTATGGTTTGATTACTGTATTCTTGAATTATGTCCATCAAGAACATAAACCAACTGAAAAAAAAGTGCGTTTAGCGAGCTTTTCGTTCTGCGCATATTAATCTTGTACAAAAGCCCGTGAATCTATCTATCTATCTAGTCTATTCTATCTATCTATCTATCTATCTATCTATCTATCTATCTATCTATCATCTATCTATCTATCTATCTATCTATCTATCTATCTATCTATCTATCTATCTATCTATCTATCTATCTATCTTCTATCGATCTATCTGTCTGTCTGTCTATCTATCATCATCTATCTATCTATCTATCTATCTATCTATCTATCTATCTATCTATCTATCTATCTATCTATCTGTCTGTCTGTCTGTCTGTCTGTCTGTCTGTCTGTCTGTCTGTCTGTCTGTCTGTCTGTCTGTCTGTCTGTCTGTCTGTCTGTCTGTCTGTCTGTCTATCTATCTATCTATCTATCTATCTATCTATCTATCTATCTATCTATCTATCTATCTATCTATCTATCTATCTATCTATCTATCTATCTATCTATCTATCTATCTATCTATCTATCTGTCTTTCTGTCTGTCTGTCTGTCTGTCTGTCTGTCTGTCTGTCTGTCTGTCTGTCTGTCTGTCTGTCTGTCTGTCTGTCTGTCTGTCTGTCTGTCTGTCCTCACGTTTCATACAGCTGTAATGCTTTTAGGGAAATTAGTTTGCTTATTTTGGACAATTACACAGTGGTTTCTGTCGAGTGCTTGGTACTTCACAATTCTTAAAGAAAGTGCGGGAAATAATTGCAGCATTTACTACCTACGATTACAAGAAAGCATTAAGGATTATAAACAGAATGAGTCGCGTGCACTTATGCACTTTCGCGGACACACGTGCACCAAGCAGCCGAAGGACGAAATAATTAGTAAACAGCATTTTGTGAGAGAGGTGCTGCCATCTATCAGACGCAGCTCGTACTCTAAGTCTATGGGCGACACGTAAGACAAGTTTTGCATGGTTGCTCACTACAGAGGGCCCAACTGAAGTTTTTAAAAACCGTGTTTTACAACGCGGGAGATGAATATTAAGAGATAAAATTATTTGAAAAAGCCACACGAAACTCCTGCATTTGTTCCCATCAACTGTTCGGGGTTTTCGCGCCCTGAACTATCGCTCTAAAAGACGTTCCCTGTGAAGACTACGGAACACATGAATAAACTAGCTACCCACTAAGTTTTGTCGTAAAAATGTTTTTACAGATCGCACTGCACTACGGGCTTAGTTTTGTACATTCATGCGTCAAATGAATGCTTAGTCTGCGTCGTTGAATGGCTTTGTTTTCACAGAAGCTTTTCCGAGCAATATTAATTTAAATCTAAAGAAAAAATTACCGCTTAGTACGCCACCAATTAAAACGCAGAACAAACAAGATGCGTCACCCATAGAGTTTTCTGGAATACTTTCTGGAAGTTACTTTTGCGCTAAGGTCGTTAAGCGCCATGGGGATCGGCCCAATAATCGTGCCTTCGTCCTTGAATGTGATTGTGACCTTGTTTATTGTTTTTGCTTTTGTTTTTGATAAGAAAATGACTCGTTGTGAGCTTCGTGATAAAACTTCAAATGGTGAGTCTAAGAGGGCCAAGGTGGCGAAGCTATGTCATGGAACGTTTGCTGAATTTCTTGGAGTGCATCGTGCGTTGAAAATACTGCAGGCTTCATGGAGCGAGAAGATGGATGCTAAATTTTTATACCTATTACTGTAATGTTGGCTGAAGCACGATGCGATGCAGCTTCTATAGATACTATAGCGACCCATTTTCCTTTAGTGTTAACAGTGACGCTGTGCAGGAGTTGCAACACGGTGGTCACAGTTGAAAAGACCTTAATCCTACAGTGTATGTAACACCGGTAAACATTGAATTCCTTTTTGAAATACCAGTAGTGGAAACACTGTTTACGTCACTTATTGTTTTTATGTCGGTTACATGGTGTTGTGTTTATTCTACTTTGACGACGGCCAGCGAGCTGTATCTCCTTTTGGACGCAACTAGAATACGCAGCAATAGCTTGGAACCCGAACCAAAAGAACATGACTGATGCATTAGAGAAAATTCAAAACAGGACTCTTGGATTTTTTTTCCAAGTATGCCAGGCAAGAGAGTGTTTCCGCGCTGCGTTTTCAAGCACTTGTCGCAACTATTGCTTGCCGATGACAATTAGTTAGTCTGAAGTTTCCTTTTCTTCTTTCAAGCAACCTGGTAATCTTAAGTAAGGATGATTACCTAAAAGCTGCGAACCGTCACTCCAGTAGAACTAACAACGACAAATGCATACGCCCATTCCTGTCATGTTGTAACACGTTGAAGTATTCTTTTTTTCCCGCGGTTACAGAGATGTGGAATGACTTGCCGAAGGACGCCGTCAGTGCTCAATCACTTGAATCATTTTCATCGCTGCTGGAAATTCATTTAGAGGTATTGCAATAGATTCTGTGGTATCTGTGTGCAAAATAAAGGTAGAAACAATGTATCGCGCATGTAGTTGCACATGGCTACCCGTGCTTAACGGCCTACATCTGTGTATTAATTATGTTATTGTTTGATGTTATCATAACTAGTTCTTTTCCAATTAAACACATACGCACTGTTAGTTTATTGCGTTTATGCTGTTATATTGTTGTTTTGGCTGCTTTGTGTTACATAATTTCTCTTTTTTTTCATCTCCGAATTATGAAGTCTTATTAGCTTTGTATTCCCTCTTCTGTGTAGGCCTGAAAAGGCCTATAGTATTGAATAAATAATAAATAAATAAATAAATAAATAAATAAATAAAGTTAATTAAATCATGGCCACATCTACCTACGGTTTCAAGTATCACCGCTGGGT